AAAAAAAAAAAAAAAAAAAGATTTATTCGATTTTATCTACTATTTAATTTCAATTTTCATTGCACATGTTCAGCATCAATACAAATGATTGAAATGCTTTAAAATTATAATTTTGGTCACTTTTATGAGAACTTTCCATGTAAAGATATCACATATAAAATATAACAGTAAAAACAGATTGGCATAGCTCAAATTTTTCCATAAGAGGAGAAAAAGATATTCCCTTTCCTCTGAATGTCCTCTGCTTTTAACATATCTCCCTCAACCAAAAATATCCTGAACAAGGTGCCATTTAGCTCAGAAGAACCTTTGTCAAGGGCTGGAACCTCCGAGCCTCGCATTGGGTCTTACCTTGCCAGCACGCTGCTGCCCACAAGTGTTATAGACAGCTTCTCTTCATCATTGAGCTGCTGCAGATTAATTTCATCTCGGAATATGTGGAATGATTCGGGGATATTCAGCTCTTCTAAAATAAACCTTGTCTCGGTGAAGTAGTTGAATTCAGTTCTTGGTATGTTCAGCACTGGTAAACAGAGAACCCCCGGAGGACTGACCTACCAAGAAAAAAGTGGACTGAATCACTAAAAACAGCAAGTCAGGATACAACTGCATTTTTTTTTTTTTTTTTTTTTTTAGCCCATGGGTAGTTGGTGAAGGGAATGTTAAGTCTTTTGGCCTCGCTAAACCATGTGAAATTCATAACCAAGTTTTCCTTCACCTGATTAGTACAGCATTCTCCATGGTAAATGGCCCCTAATATAGGTCAAGCTCTTGTTACTCTGCTTGAAACCTCTCATGCCTTTTACTTGAAATATTTCATCTTGCTTCAAACCCTCCAAAATTAAAAACCATATATATTACATATATATCTATACACACACACATCTTCCTCCTCAGAGGTAATAAACTCAACTGGGACAGACCAGGTGGGGACTGCAGTGACACAGGAAGGCACATACATCCCTCTAAATGGGATGCCTGCCACATTGCTCCAGCCAATGGGTCACATGTAAAAATTTAGGCCCAGTGTTGTTTAATCTTTTAATTACTGGAGAGAAGCTAGAGATCCAGATTTGAGGGTGTTATCTGTAACATTTATTTGTTACACAATAACTTTTTAAAATTCATCAGACTATGTCCATCAGTGAAAATTCTTGTATGAGCCAGATTCAGCCCACAGACTACCAGACTGTGATTCCTATGGATTTCTTATTATTGTTTAAAATATCTTATACTAATAAACCTCTTGTAAAAGTATTGGTGTCAGTGAGGAAACAGGAGCTGGGTGGGAGGTAGATTCACAATACTAAATCCATTTTCTATAGAAATTTCTAAAAAATGGTGCTTTTAAAAATTACTATGACTGTATAGTGATAACCCTATTCCTGAGAGAATGTAAAGTTTGGTGACATTGAATTTTTAAATTCATACTCAAATTTATTACCTTCATAAAGTAAATGGCCTAGTCTATTCTCACATCATCATCTGTCATGACTATGGTGAGTAACGCACGGTTCTAACTCCTTTATCATCTATCCCCCTTTCCAATATTAAGAAAATGGGGTTTGATTGGTTTTTTCCAGCTAAGTTTCTAGGGCATAAAACAGTCTGGCATATACTAAACATCTCAGACATATTTGTTGAATAAAATAAATGAATGAGACACTGCTGCAGGACAGAGTACAGGACAGAGTACAAAAGCCACTTCAATAAAACGGGTTTTTTTCTACCTGTTGTGCTAACACTGAATCACAACTGCATAATAATCATTAACAATTTATGTATGGCAAGTTGTGTTTCCTCATTACCACAACTTGACAGAAGAAGACTCAATGAACAAGTCAGAACATGTACCCTGACCTTACCCTGACAGGACCTACTCTGAAGTTAGTGTCATAAGAACTACATAAGAGCCCTGTCTCTGCCGGGAGACTGTGACCACACCATTTTCCTCTCACAGTTTTCCTCATCTGTAGAATGGGCTCACTTACCGGAGTGGGAAGGATTTAAATGAGATCACACATGTGAAATTGCAAAGCTCTGTACTTATCTCATGGGTTAATACTCTGACAGGGAGAAGTCCAGGTTCTCAAGAAAAATTTAAAGGAAGACACAGAGTACTAGCGGGGTAGGGGGCCGAGTAGACTAAGAAAAAAGTACAGAGATACAATAAAATTCTCAGTATGTGAACTTCTGGTAATGTCACATTTGTTTCCATGTTCAGTGGTGAGCCTTGAAACAAGAAGAGAATCCACAAATCTTATTTTTCTATCTATCTATCTATCATCTATCTATCACAATTACTTCTCCCCCCCAAAATTACCTTTCCCATCCCTTTTGTTGGATGTCATTATAGTCGCTCGAGGCCTTATAGTAGGTGGTGATGGTATCATTATTATTAAATAATTTCCTAAAAAGTCGATGCCACTGTCAGTCTAAAAATCAATTCAGTTCAATCAACTCTACATTCTCTAGACAAGCAACATTTTATTCTGAGAGTCAAAAAACCAGTTAACAAGATTAGTGTTTAATATGCATGTCTTGACACAGGGACATTTATCTCCTCATACCAATTAATCTCCCTTATAAAGTTCAACAAATTTTAAGAGAAATTTGATATAAAGCCCACATGTAGAGATGAGAATATTTTACCCGGCACTTTCGTCAGCTGCCCTAGGGCAGTTTTTGCCACCCACAGCTCATTCTGGAACACTGGGTTTCATGTGAATTTGAATCGCTCTAGACCAGCTAAGCATACTGTCAAGGGCCCAGGATCCAAACAAAATTGGAATAAAATGAGTCAGGCTCTGAAAAATTAAAAATTGTGTGACCTTGGAAATAGCACCCAGACACTCATAATGTACCTTTTCAGGCTTCAAAGTAATAAAACCCATTATCATGGGCTAATGAATTTTAGACAATTAAAGCTCTACAGAAATTTATTGAAAGATCTTTTCTATTTCTATAGGTGTGTCATATGCTTCACAGAGTAGGAAGATTCTCCCTCAAGGGAGATTATCACTAACTGAGAATGATTCTGCTGTACAAATCAGGACTAAAGGGAAAACCAAACAAGATCTGACAGGATGTAGATCTATTTACATTTTTTTTTTTTTGAGATAGTGTCTCACTTTGTTGCCCTTGGTAGAGTGCTGTGGCATCATAGCTCACAGCAACCTCAAACTCATAGTCTTAAGTGATCCTCTTGCTTCAGTTTTTCGTTTTCAGTAGAGACAGGGTCTCCTTCTTGCTCAGGCTGGTCTTGAACTTGTGACCTCAGTGATCCACCCACCTTGGACTTCTGGAATATTACGATTACAGGCGTGAGCCACTGCACCCAGCCAGTAGATGTAGATTTAATATGTAATACCCAGAATTTTCAGGATCACTGAAAATTCTAGCTAACATGAAGTTTTTAAATGTAAATATATGTATATGAATATAATTTACAGTCTTTGTCATTCGTGTAATCTTCACACAAGTCATTCTGCACATATTTCTCTATTCTCAAGGGTAAGACTGTCCAACAATGACTAAGAAAAATAAGAAATTCTGCTCTTTCTTTTTAATTAATTAATCAACTATTATAAACAGTTTTAAGTTTTCGTTTAAAAGCATTGGACTTACTGAAACAATGTTTTATAACAGAGTTGGTAAGAAATCACCAGAACAATGCCGAACCTGTCAGGAGTGCTCAGTGAGTACGTGTTGATTAATGGATCACAACACTCTGTGACAATGAACCAGAACATGAAAAATTAAGTTGATAGGTTTCTTTGTTTCTAGAAAATGTTTGTTCTTAGAAGTGACATGATAAGGCAAAATATAAAAAATACAATCCTTCTTTTCTCACCTTGTCTAGAAAGTAAGCATACGTGAAGGCAGAAATGAGAGAGTCTAGGTCACATGACTTAGGTCCGATAACCACATGAACTTTCTCCAGCCGTTTGCTTCGATTCTGAAACAAATTCAAATAAAATGTCACAGTTTCACCAAAACAGATTAATGTAAGGATGACAGTTTTCAACCTTCTTCTAAGGTATGCCATATCTATAGTCATACACGATGGTAGAAAATCATAAATGTATCATGAAACTTCACATAAGAACATAAACACTGTACATTGTTAACATGCTGAAATGTTCACTAAGATTCTAATAAGTTGTCAGGAAGAGAAACCTGTGGCTCAAAGGAGTAGGGTGCTGGCCCCACATGCCGGAGGTGGTGGGTTCAAACCCAGCCCCGGCCAAAAACTGCAAAAAAAAAAAAAAAATGATTATTCACAATTTAACTTCATATACACTGTATCTCTGAGTCATAATTTTTCTTTTCTTTTTTTTTTTTTTAGAGACAGAGTCTCACTTTGTAGCCCTGGGCAGAGTACCCTCGTGTCATAACTCCCAGCAACCTCAAACTCTTGGGCTCAAGCGATCCTCTTGCCTCCACCTGCCAAGTAGCTGGGACTACAGGCGCCCGACACAATGCCCAGCCCTTTCTTGGTTGCAGTTGTCATTGTTGTTTTAGCAGACCTGGGCCAGGCTTGAAGCCACCAGCTTCAGTGTATGTGGCCAGACCTCTACTCACTGAGCTACGGGCGCCGAGCCTGAGTCATAATTTTTTAAGAAGACCATTTTGTTCTAAGAAGTTGCACCGTATTCCATATCATTTCCTTATGTAAGATTTTCTTCTTAATTTAAAAAATAAACAAACTAACTTTCATGTATCTCTGGCACACAATGTAAACAAACACAATTTGGTAAGGATTTATTTTTTCATATCACATTTTAGATGACAGAATATGCTCTCATTGTATTCTATAATGTAGTAAATGAAACTTGCAACACTTTTTCTCTCAGAGAAAGGAATATGATTAGTATAATTGCTCTAAAAATAAAAAATTAGTTGCTTTAAAAAAGTATATCTCGTCACCTCTCCTGAAGAGAAAGCATACTGCCCCCCTTAACTTAATAGTTACTTAAAATTTCTTTATGCAAGGCTGACATTCTTTTGAAATGTCCCAAGAACCAACTGCTTCTAGGAAATTCCACAGCAAATTGTCCAGTACAGATAATTATAACATAAATTAATATTTTTATAGTATAGCAGAGATGATAACGTGTATATATTCCCACACGTTTCATCATTTGTTTTAACTTTTCATTTTAGAACTGACTAAAAAGCCAGCTTCATTGTAATTCTGCTCCGACGGCCATATAAAAGGTTAGACTGTGACTGTTTTAACAAAAAAGAATTATCCTTTTCTGGACAGAACAAAGATAAAGCACTAGCTAATAACCTATGAAGGATTCTACAGGTTGATCTAAAAGTGTGCTAGGGTTTATACGAACTGCTGATATCAGAGTCAGAAACAAATGAATAAATGACCAGGCTGTGGCCCAAGGAACTTCATAAAGCAAATCTTGGAGGGGTCTGGGTTAAAGAATCTGTCATGGAAACTAAGAGCAGGATCAATGTTGCAGATGAGTCATCCTTTATGAAACATGGCTAAACCAAAACAAACCTCCATTAAAAAAAATTGAGACATCAATCCTTAGTAAAACAACATGATTCAAAGGTATCGTACAAACTCTCTGAAGATCATGACAACCTTCTTTTCCTGTCACCACCAAACCTAGCTCCCATTTCTGCCCCTTCTCCCAGTTTCTTTCCTCACCCTCGTAAATGTATACCTGGCTCACTTGGCTGAGTATCCTTCGAGAGTTCTAGTCTAGGCTTAGTTCTCACTCTCAAAGTCAGGCTGTTTGCCCTGTACAAGACAGTCAGATATTCTAGGAGCACCTAAAGAAATTTGGGTAAATAGAATTACAGTCCATTATAACACAAACAAATGCATTAGGAAATCGCATTACTGCAGAACGCTGCTCTTCCGAGAAGCTCAAAGGTCTAAGTAGACATTACCTCATTTCTCTTCCCTCTGCCTACTGTCTCTTGTAAGGCAGACAGTAGGAAGATTAACGACACTCTTTATAGGTCAGACAAGTCTGCGAAGAGGCCAGGTTTGTTCCCAGAATCCACGGCCCAGGACCGGGAGCGCTGCCTCCTCTGCCCTGTGCTAAGGCCAACAGGACTCCACAATACTACAGTGATTTCAGTGTCCACACAAGAGAGCACAGGCATGCAGGGGGAAGAGAGAACACCAGATATGCAAGCTAAACACAGCAAGGCTCCAGACATTTGTGCCATCAAAATTGTCCCCTAAAGCTTCTTGTCTAGGGGTGATCATTCCCAGACATAGCTCTGTGTTCAACCCTCAGGTTACAGGAAAGAAGACATGGGGGTTGTAGCAAGATGTGTGTGCAGTTCACTGCTGAGCCCAACCCCAGTCATTACTTTTTTTTTTTTTTAAAGGATCTAAATGAGGATTGTAAGCCCAAAGCATGCTAGACCAACCCTTACAACTCAAGAATCTTCTAAGAAGGCTCTGCTCCCATAGCACAGTGGTTATGGCGCCAGCCACATACACTGAGGCTGGTGGGTTTGAACCTGGCCCAGGCCAGCTAAAGTAACAATGACAACTGCAACAATAACAACAACAAAAATAGCCCAGAGTTGTGGCAGGTACCTGTAGTCCCATCTACTTGGGAGGCTAAGGCAAGAGAATTGCTTAAGCCTAAGAGTTTGAGGTTGCTGTGAGCTATGACACCACAACACTCTACTGAGGGCCACATAATGAGACTGTGTCTCAAGAAAAAAAAAAAACTTTCTAAGATAATCATGTTCTATTCCTCTCTATCCATTTAAAGAAAAATAGAGACATATCAGGTCAGGGACATACCAGACCCTTGTGCAAAATCTTGAGGGTTTTCCTTGGAGCCACATGCCTCTGTCTGTAGTGCCATCTTTAGTCAATGCCACACTTCCCAGGGTCCAATACTCTTTTCCCCCATGACCGCCCCTAACAAAATGTACTGTGCTGGTGCCCAGGCTCTCAGGGACCTACCTACCTGCTTTTCCACCAGCAATTCCCATAGACAACATGCCAGTGAATACCCTTGGCCAATGTATTGCCAATGTAACATTATAAAAGACAGACACCATGTCACAATCCAAAAAGACGACTGGAAATATCACCGTGGCTGAGAAGCCAAACCAGGCAGACAGAGCATCCCAATCAGCCGGCACCCTTGTTGTCTTCCAGTGAGCTTTAAAAAGGCTCAAACTCAAAATATCACAGATGCTGCTAAGTGCCCAGTTCCTGCAGTAGCTGCTGATAAGATAGAATTGGAGGGCACCAAAAGGTAACCACGCACAAACTCCTGCCCGCCCAGAGGAATGAAGATGAAATTAGTCAAAAAGACTCACCCTACAGTGAGCTGCTAGACCGTATAGGATTTGCCTCTTCACACTGGGGTCAAGAACTAGAGAGCACAGACCCTACTTTCAAGGTTTCTACCACAGGCATGGGAGCAGAGCATGGGAGCTGAGTCAAGCCAGAAAAGCCTGGGGACTGATTTCAAGTAACAGAGGTCCCACGGCACCGGTCTACTCTGAGGCAAAGGGGCAGCTGCAGGGGCAGCAGTGAGACGGTTCACGGAATCCAGAAGAGACTCCTGACCCAGCAGACTCTGCACCTGCAGGTCTCTGAGCTCCTTCCTGTTTCAGACGCGCATTTGTTCAATCTCAATGTTGATGTCCCTTGATGCAGTTCAGATTGGGGTCTGGATTATTCACAAACAGAGAAATCATGCCCAGATAACAGGGACAATTGTAATAGTGATAAACGTACAATTTCATCAATTCAGTGTATTTTTGTCATTGAACAAATAAAAATTTGCTTTTATCAGATACTGTTCTAGGCCCTAATGACACAGCAGGGAACCAAAACTCCCAGCTCTCATGGTCCTTGCAAAGTACTGCAGGAGAACCAAATAATCAGATAATAAGTGGAGAAAAAGCAATCAAGGAAGAAGGACAAAGTGGGCTGAGGTGAGGCTCGCTGAGAAAGTAACGTGAGTAAAGAAGTCAGGGAAGAGGCTCGGCACCCATGCTCAGTGGTTTGGCACTGGCACATGTACCTAGGCCAGCGGGTTCAAACCCAGCCCGGCCAACTGAACAACGACAACTGCAACAAAAAAGCAGCCAGTCATTGTGGTGGGCGCCTGTAGTCCCAGCTACTTGGGAGGCTGAGGCAAGAGAATCACTTCAGTCCAAGAGTTTGAGGTTGCTGTGACGTAGGGCGACATAGTTGAGACTGTCTCAAAAAAAAACAAAAAGAAGTCAGGGAAGAACACATAAGGCCAAGAGAAGGGTGAGTGCAAAGGCCCTGTGGTGGGAGCAGCCTAGCATGTCCAACAGGTAATTACCGCCTACTCTAAACACTTTCTAAACATGACTTTGTAAACACCTCACCGGTAGTAGCTGGGATCTGGTAAGTAAATACCTATTCCATAACATCAACACAAGGACACCAACACTGAGGAACCTCAGGTGACAGGTGACCCTCTGCTAATGCCTACAGCCAGTGCTGCCCAAGCCCTGCCCAAAATGGAAGATGATAAAGGATTGAAACAGATACTGTACTACTTTGTCGCCTAGATACACTTCCCAACAGATGGGCAGACTCTTTTCCGTAACCATGTATGAAAGAAAATACATCGAACAAGCCAGGATTCCGGATCACAATATGCTGCCAGGGCACAGTCCCATACAGCACTGAGATGAGACTTCCTAATGAAGTTAACTTCTTATCTTTTCTTTAAAAGTCAGCAAAACGCCTACACGTTTTTTGCGACATCTTTGTCTGTTAATGGAAGCTCATTAAAGAAAGCTGCTCTCCTTAGGTAAAATCCCTTTCAGATCTACCCACAGAAAGAGAAGAATGGATCAGAAAGAGGACAGGGCATCCAGGATCCCGCTGTGAGCCGAGGCCCCTCCATCTATTTCTTTGTAATTTCAGCTTCTTAGAAGCACAGTTGCTCCTGCCTATAACTTTCTACATCAAGAGTCTCACCATAAACCTTTCCATCAAAAAGCCCTTGCCATTGGGGTGGTGTCTGTGGCTCAAAGGGGTAGGGCACCCGCCCCATA